AATAGAATAGAATAGAATAGAATAGAATAGAATAGAATAGAATAGAATAGAATAGAATTCTTTATTGGCCAAGTGTGATTGGACACACAAGGAATTTGTCTTGGTGCATAGACACACATAGTGTAAGGTGGGTGGGTGGGGAGATAGAAGTAGTATCTGTTGTGCTGCTGAAAGAAGTCACCAGGTCTTTATGCATGTACAGAGGCATGTATTCTTGTATGTGGCCTACATGAGGAGAAGGAATGACTACTTTACAAGATTAAGAGTAGCTAAAGGTCTGAAATACCTGTTCCTTGCTTTTTCTTCTAAATGTAATTTTGGAAAGTATTTGTAAGTGTCAGAGGAAAGATGCTGCAAAAGGTGGCAAATCTCCTCATGAAAAGAAAGCAAGTGGTGTTTTTTTGTAATAATCTCTAATAATCTTTCTGAAACAGTTTGTGTAATGTCTTTCTAAATACTAGTTTTAATAATATTATTTTTAAATAATTGACCCGACTTTCCTTTAATATTAAAAAAAAATCTGTTCGCCAATTTTGTTTAATTCAAGAGGCTGTTATTCAAAGTATTCATTTTTAAAACTGTCCTCATGATTTGTTTCTGTTTTGATTTATTTAAACAAAATCATCCAAGGGCCACATAGTCACTCCAACAGAGAAGCAGAAACAGACATTCAATATATTACACCATAGAAAAGTGGGCCAGACATTACTCTTGCTAACATTGAATCAAGAAAAAAAAATCCACCCATGCATTCAAAATATTTCAAGCAATACGAATTAAACCAACAACATAAAATTATTTCCTACTTCTGCATTCATTGTTTCAACATTAAGTACAAATTATATTGTTATCCTAATGGCACTCACATAACTGCCAAACTATATATAATTATATGACCAAAGTCTCGCAAGATTTCTGAAATCTGACACAAATGTTGAGAAAGACATTGCTAAAATGTCATAAACACCTCAGATTTGTGATATTTTTGCTATTTTTTCTTATTATTATTTCGACACCTATGTCCATCATTTTGAAAGATTACTGACCCTCACCATGGCTTCCTGAAAAATAAACTCCAATGTGCTTGCTATGCCTGAATATGACTTACCTGCCCTTCAACCCAAAGCAAGACATTAGTGTGAAAAACTGAATAATAGAACATGAACACTAATGGGAATCCACAGTAAATTGCTGCAAGTTAGTTTAGTTATTTAATTGTCTCTGACACCTGACACCCTTAATTTCACTCAGGACATAAATATAGTGTGAGGACACAAGTTTGGTACTCCATTGTGTAGTTCAGCTGGAAACAATAATGAAAAGGGGAAGGATTTACTTACTTGATATTGTCGAGACACCCTGATTCAGGTTTCAGAATGGCAGTATGATGAAACATTTTATAAAGGGCAATTCCAAGGAAGATTACATTAAGCTGAAATAAAATCAAATAAATAAAATAAAATGGCAAGTTATAAGGAAAAAGGATGAATCTAGTTCTACTATTTATAGACTATAATATTGCAAAAGCAGAGAGAGATGCTCAAGACTGAATTACTTGTCCATACCACACAGTAAAGGTGAATCTATGTTCTAGAGTAGATGTCGTCCCCACCCTCCCCGGAAGATTAGGAACATTTTTTCTGGCAGTATATTTAAATACTTATTCATTTTATATGGATGAATTTTTGTCCTGTGACCTTCTACCTCCAAGTCTGAAGAAGAATAAACTGATATGTACTCAATGAGAATTATACTATTTGCATTATCCACAGCAGATAAAGTCCACTGGACTTTTTTTTAGTTTGCATGGAAAACAGAAAGCTTTTCATAGAAAAGCAGTAAATAAAACTCACAAAACTATGCCATCCACAATAAACTTGTTTTAATGGTTTTTCTAATAGTAAAAGAGAAACATGACACATCGGGTCACTGAGTCTCTGGAGTTCGTTTATCTTTGTTCTTCAAGCAATTCTAGGATTGATATATAAAACTCGTAAGATTGAACAAGGCAGAATTAGTAATACCGTATGTAGGACACTGCAAATAAAAAGCAGTACCATAAAAATAGACAAAAGCAGATTTCAATAGACAAGGTAGAGATACCCTCCCTTACACTACAAGAACTTTGTTTCTATAATGTCCTGAAACATTATGAAAACCAGGCAATTTCAACATATTCAACTACTAGTTTGGTGTAAGTCATTAAGATCCTGGATTTTAAAAATGTCACCTTTAACTCAGAATAAACCAGATTTAGCATTTCTGCTCAGTAGAATTTTTCAAAGTAACTTTTTAAAAAAGAGTCTTTAGAAAACAAAAATTCTCCAAAAGGCTTTGATCCTTTTAAAGGGAGCCATTAATTCTTATATATTTTCTCATTTTGAGGGCAGCATTGTTATATCATATGCTGAATTATGTAAAAATGATTTCAATCTCAGAGGGTTTTTTAATATTATTTCAAAGCTCACTGCAGTCATTTTGTGAGCAGCAAATCTTCTCTGAAGGATAATGGTTCCAATAGACACCAAGAATCCAAGTGAATCAGAGGAGGCAACTGAGTGAATTTACTCAATGTCTTCCCTCACTTAAAAAGGAAGACCTTTATGAGATATGAGCCTTTAGGGGACAATACTCTATTTAGCCTCTAGGCATTCTAAACATTTCACTACACAAATACCATGTTTCCCTGAAAATATGACCTACCATGAGCTTGATTTTTACATGTGCACCCAATATAAGCCCTACCCCCCAAATAAGATCCTGCCTACTCCAGTGTGCACAGGTAAAAATTAAGCTAGGGTGGGGATGGGTGTGTGTGGAGCTGCCCTACTATTTACCTTTGGACAGTTGTAGCGAGGCTTTGCACACCCCAACACCTGCCTTGCTGGCCCATTTCTTCTGCAACCAGCAAGGCTGGCAAGGCTTTCCTGAAGGCCTCTGTAGCTGATAAAAAGCTCCTGATCAGTCCGGAGCTCTGTTATCAGCTGCAGAGGCCTTCAGGAAAGCCTTCCTGGCCGCAGAAGAAGAAGTTCCTGAAGGCCTCTGACAGCAAAAAGGAGGCCGGGGGGGTGGATGGGGACACACACACGCAATTGAGGTTAGTCAGTGGATGACATCCCCCCAAAATAAGACCTGGTGCTTTATTTGGTGGCAAAAAATATAAAACAGGGAAACACGGTAACCAGTGAAGCTAGTAAAGCTAGTAAAGCTATAAATATAGATCTTGCTGATTGTATATGGCTAAATAAATTATATCTGGAGTGTGACCTGCCATTTAAAATCTAAAATTCTCTTCTATTTCAGATTTTTATTCTACCTTCAAAACTCACAAATATTATAACATGCTGGCTGGAATGATGCATTGTAGAGTTTGATTACTCTCAAATAACACACAGTAAATAAACTAGCCCCAAAAGCCAATCAGTCAGTCACTCTATCAGTCTATCTTTCCATTATCTTGTCTAGGAAACAGATAAAGTGAATGGCATGGGGAGAAAAACACTCGTGGAAAAATGTTGATAGATTTGCACTGAATCGTTTTCTTACAAGGAAAACACCCATAAAAGAATACTGGTACAGTATTCTTACTTCTTAATCCTGAAGAAATCCACCAGAGATTTATTTTCACACAAATTAGTGTGAATTCTCAAAAAGCCCTCTCTGATTTTAATTTTAACTGAAAAATAAAAGAATGAATATTCCTGAAAAGTTTTACAGAAAAGTGGTCTTTTAAGGAAATATGCATGTTTACTCTTTTATTATGCAATTTTGAGTCTACTCAACTCCTTAACTATTACAAATAAAAAGGAAAAAACAATACACATAACAAGAACTTGCACCTGACTGGAAGAAAAATACTACCAGCAATAAAAACCAAACTTAACTGAAGGGGCCACTTTGAGTGAAGGCCTTGAAAGACAACTAGGTTTTGAGCTGAAGAACCTGGGGTGGGGTGGGGGATGTTGAGCTAGTGGGCCGATGATGCAACTGAGAAGAGTCATCATGGATTTCATGAAATTGCTTAATTGATTGGGCCTGAGCACATCCATCTTCCTTGATTGTATCAGATGGAACAGAGGGTCACACACAATTGAAGATAAGTGGTCCCTCCATAGGTCCAAAGCTCTGAAGAGCTTTAAAAGTCATAATCAGCATCTTGAATTGCACCCAGAAGCCAACTGGTAACCAGTGCAGCTCCCAAAGCAGTGGGGTCATGTGACCATAGCACAGTATCACCATCACTGTTTGTAACTCTGCATTCTGTATCAGCTGGATCTTTGAGTGGCCTCCATAGTAATCCAATTGTGAAGTGACCAGGGCATGAATGACTATCTGAAGGACCTCCTGATCCAGCAAAAGGCCTAACTGGTACACTAGATGTACCCCTGCAAAGGCTTACTCTCTGCTCTCTTTGAGCTATCGTTTTATGGCCAAGTCTGCTTTTTCCTATTCAGTGACAATATCTTCAGGGATTTAAAGCAAAACATTTTTATAATGTTCATCCATGGTGGAAAATACCACTGACAGGTTTCTGACATCATCCTTTCCCAATTAAGTTACATTTGATGCAAGACATGCAAGATCCTAAAGATGCATTTCCAGAAAACAGCATAGCTAATTAAGAATTCTTACCATAATGATCAAAGTTGCAGGTCCTATAAAACTCCAAATGAAATAGGTGTCAAGTCGAAGCCAACATCTGAAATGATAATGGAAGAAAAATGGCATTCAGGGATAGCGCATGAAATAAATATCAGGAGTAAGTGAATAGAGATAAATGAGGGTTGTATAATATTACATTAAGAGGCATGAGATGCTACACTGCTTCTTCAGTGAAATTGGATCATATGTTTTGTCTTTGGTAATGTTATTGAGAAAGTCAGGTGTTAGCTTCTGGACGAAACAAGGAAACAGCACAGATTTTACTTGAAGATGTTCACAATTAAAAATAATTATGAAAACAGACATAAAATCTAGCTTACAGCCATTCTTTGCAGCTATCAGCTTCACAGTAGGTGACTTTTTTGCTTAAGAAAATCTTTAAAAATTAAGTGAAGAGAAAAATAAATTAGCAGGTCTGAAACTTAACCAGATACAGATTTCTCCCTTCCTCATGAATATTTCTAGAAATGAACCTATGATTAAGCCAGGAGATTCGTAATCTAAATTATTCATCACTTAATTTTGTCTATGTTTAATATCCCTAGCATTTAATGATCTTGGAAATTAAATTTCCATTTCTAATTTGTGTAGCGACAAAATAGGTATCACTAGCTACAAGACAGAATCTCAGAACTGGAAGGTACCATTAAGTCATTATGCCCAGCCTCTGGGCAATGCAGAAATCCAAATTATGCATCACAAATAGATGGCTGCCTAGTATCTAGCCTAGACCATCTTCATTGCGATAGGGAGTCCAATCTTGCATTACTTCTTTGAATTTTTCTATGCTCTGGCTGGTGTCAGCTTTGATGGTGCCCAGCCATCTTGTTCTTTGACAGCCTGGTTTCCTTTTGCTGCTAACTATTCCAAACATAATTGCTTTCTCCAGTGATTGGTTTAACAACATTTCAAGAATCATATCATCTCTCAGTCTTCTTACTCCACGGCTAAACATTCCAGGTATCGACTTATTTCTAGCCTCAAAATTCTCCGTTGCCCTTTTCTGCATCTGTTCCAGTTAGTTTGAATCCTTTTTAATGTAAAATCTAGAGCTGTACACAATAATTCATCTGGAGTCTGACCAATGAAAAATAAAAATAAATTATTATTTTCTGTCATTTTTGAAAAATCTTTCTGTTGATAATAGTTTTTATGATGAGCTGTTGATGAGCAATCCTTTAGTAACATTTTTAATCAGTCATGTATCCTCTTGATTTATACTATCTGGCATATACTTAACTAACTTGTTAATGAGATTATCTGGAAGTTTTTTGTAAATGCTTTGCTGAAATCATCAAAGTCTGCAACATTTCCAAAATCTGCTAAGGAAATTACCTAATTAAAAAAAATAAGATAAGACTAGTATAGAAAGAGTTACCTTTAACCAATCCATGGTTATTACTGAATAGTATCACGGTCTGAATAATTTTATGATCTACTCTAGAATCATCCCAGATAATAATGGCAAACTGACCAATCTACAGCCCTTTGGATTTTTTTTTGATACCATCTTTTCCACTCTCTTTTTCAAAGTATGGACAATATTTACCCTGCTCCAGTTATATTTTACAGTCTGTCCTTATTTTGGAATTTGTTCTGGTAAAATTGTCATTAAGTGAACTACTTCTCTCTCTCTCTCTCTCTCTCTCTCTCTCTCTCACACACACACACACACACACACACACACACATATTTTCTCTCTCTCTCTCACAGACACACACACACACGGACAGAGGATACAAAGTTTGTAGGTTGCTGCCATATCATTTAAATAAAGTTCTCTTGTGTAGCAATGCCAGTGTTATTCTTGCTCCGATGCATATGGTTGCAGGTGCAGAAATTTGGATGTAATTATCCACATTGGTTACTTTACTACTGTTTACTACCATTTATTACCATAGTACTTTGCAAATGGTTGCTAACAAAGGTAGTCCCTGTAATGAGGAAGGCTGTATTTTACCAGTTCATCAAGTTTTCTCAAAAAGCATGTTCAAAGACATGAACATCATCAAGTCTCTAAAATACCCTCGTCAATTTCTATGGAAATTCATAGATATTTTTACATAGAAAATATCTATGTAAAAAAGCCATAGAAATAGTTATTTTATAACCATGTTCACATCAAACTTTATTTGTGCTTATTCATCCTGCCCCTCAAAGTTGCCTATCAGCAAAAATGCTTGAATACAGTGGACTAAATCAAATAAAGTAAAATCTGTCAGATTTTACTTGATTCAAAAATAAAACAGCCTGAGAAAATTCCTATACTTTTAAAGGCATCCTCTGGTAGATCAAAAGAATATATATGCTTAAGTAACTCTACCTGACTGTTGAGTAATCACTAATTAGGTGTGCACTATGTGTAAGCTGTACACACACAGAGAGAGAGAGGGAGAAACAAACACACAAACCCCAAAACACACATTATATGGAATTTTGGAGAACTATTTCTAGCATAGGGGCGTGATTTCATTTCTCACCTACTCCAGTGGGGAAAATTATGTCTTGGGATTGGGCTGTAGTGAGAAGAAAAACATGATTCCACAATATACAAGTATTTCCAATTATATCATGAGTTTGTGTAGGAAGAGGTAGGAATTGGATACTCTTTGTCTCCTCCTGCATTTACAGAGGATTCCATGCAGGATAAAGTAGGGAGGCATTATTCTTTGATTTACCCTGCAAAAAAGTGCTTTTGCTCCCTCAGGACCAAAAGAGGAAAGATGTCTCACTATATTTTCTTCATGGACATTCATAACTCATACAAGTTGGAAACCATGACACTCCATCCCTTAAAGAGCAACTTCAACCATATCATACTTTTCCACATTTGAAAAGATATGAGTTAGCCAAAGAGTAAATTTAACTTTAACTTTAACCTTAGACTGTCTACTATTGACCTCACCCCTTTCCTAAGAGGTCTGTAGGGGGCATGCATAAGCGCACCAACGTGCCTACCGTCCCTGTCCTATTGTTTCTCTTATTCTTTTATTTTTCTTATATGTACCCATTTCATGTATTCACAACTATGTATACACTTATACTTATTATCTTGTAAACAATTGGCAAATCAAATAAATAAAATAAATAAATAAATAAATAAATGGCTAGCTAGATTACTTTTATAAACCAGATAATCCTCTTTTCTCTTTAAAACTATTATAAGTCTCTTAACTGAATTAAGTTTCAGTTTGCTCCATTTTGATATGAAACCTACTAATTTTTTTCTTTACCTCTTTCTAAAGATATGTAATAGGGATTCAGTGGCTCACTGGCTAAGACGCTGAGCTTGTTGATCAAAAGGTCGGCAGTTTGGCAGTTCGAATCCCCAGCACCATGTAACGTAGTGAGTTCCCGTTACTCGTCCCACCTTCTGCCAACCTAGCAGTTTCAAGGCATGTAAAAATGCAAGTAGAAAAATAGCGACCACTTCAGTGGGAAGGTAACAGAGTTCCATGCGCCTTCAGCATTTAGTCATACCGGCCACATGACCATGGAAACGTCTTCAGACAGTGCTAGCTCTTCGGCTTTATAACGGAGATAAGCACATACACCCCAGAGCCAGAAATGACTAGCACATATGTGCAAGGGGAACCTTTACCTTTAAATTAAAGAATCAATATGTGATTGTCCCACTAAGTCACTCCAATTTCAGGCATGATCACAGTATTTGCAATATAATTGCAAACAATGCATAGTCATCACATCAGTGATATCTGTTCTGAGGTCTAAGTGACCCTTAAACTTGAACCATTCCAGGAGAAGAGTGGCTTGCAATCTGAATCAGTCATCACTTAGACAATGGCTGGATGGTAAAGGAGATAATCACTCCTTTTTTGAAGAGGGGTTAGTGCATGTGCCTTGAATGAGGCAAAGATACAATCTGCCTTGAAGAGGCTCCTCCTGGATCTAGCCATATCAGTGGATTATCTAGATTGTTCTCATTCCATGCTCACACAGACAAGAGGAACCAATCTGTTTGTGCTGGTGGGAGATCTATTTGGGCCTTGGATGAGGACAATGAGTCATTTCTGGTCCTTTTTTACTTCTTGTTGGCACTAATTATCTTCCATTGCTCTTATCTTCTGAGATCCCTGTAATGATTGGAAATGAGGGGCACTGTTTTGCAGTGGTTCTGCTTCTTCCTAAGTGGGTTACTTTTAGTAAGTAATAGTATGGGCAGATAATAATTTACACGAACCTACTGGGAGAAATCTTCTGTCACTTTGTGATGGACTATCATGAGTATGTTATAATGCCCAGATTGATATCTGGGCCTCAAGCCTGTAATGTAATAGAAGTGTTGACCTTGTGCCTAGATTCTGTGAGGGTCCAGGTGTGGAGAAATAGATTGAAATTGAATTCCAGAAAGACTGGTCACTATTTGACCAAAAACCATCTGACGATCTGAACGGGAATATCACCTTCTTTGAAAAAGGAGGTACATGGTCTGAGGAGGTCTTTCCAGATTCATGACAAAAATCAGATAAAAGATGGAGACCATGGTTGGGGAAGGGAGATTCTGTCCAGCTTCAACTGGTGTGCCAGTTGTGGCACTTTCTGTAGGAGATAATCCTGCCAACAGTGACTCATACTCTTCTTGTGACTAAATTATGCAGTGGTCTTTGAAATGCAGTTGACAAAATTCAGCATCCTGTTTATTAGTGAATAAGAGTTGTTATTTGCATAGAACCTGAGTGCTGTCAGTCCTTCAAGGTAGGCAAGATCAGGAAACCAACATCATTAAAAAAATACTAGAATTTCAACTATATATAATCAGCATAGGTTAAAATAACATTATCTTAGAGTCCATTGAAGTTTAGCAGCTAATACATTCAAACAAATAGATAAATATTAAATAAAATATTGAAATCCTAACTCATTTCCCCCACCCTCTTACATCAAAGAGAGTCAAAGTGAGGCAATGTTGAATTTCTTTCTTATACTTTCAGTTTTTTTCAGGCTCATGTTTACTCATGCGAAACCAAAGCAATGTTTTCTCCAAGGTCATCTCAGTACTCTTCTACATGTGTTGGC